TCAGGTCAGGTGGTAATATATATTTAACATTTGAGGAACTGCCAAACTGTTTTCCAAAGTGGTTATTCCATTTTACAGTCCTTCCTCCATGTTTTCACCAATGCTTATTGTTGTCCATCTTTTTGATTGAAGCAAAAAAAATTTTTTTTTTTTTTTTTTTTTTAGTGGTGTTAGGGATCAAAACCTTGTGCATTTTAGGCAGGGGCTCTGTCCCTGAGCTATACTCCCAGTTGTGAAAATTTTCATAAATATGAAAGTGGACACTGCAGCTGTTCAGAGGTCAGCTTAAGCATATGATTGCCTGGCTTCCCATATAGCTCCTTCATCAGAATAAGTCCTTCCGGGCTAGGGGGAGAGCTCAGTGGTAGAGCGATTGCCTTCCATACATGAAGTCTTCAGTCCATGTCTCAGCACTGTCAAAAAAAAAGCTAACTAAATAAACCTGTGCTATCACTAAAATAAAAAGTATAATGACTAATACCATAATTCTTCAGCTTGTTTAGCTTTTCAAAAACATTTTTTCATTTTTAACAAGAAAGCATTCTGGAAACAAAAGGGAGGAAATAAAAGGTGAAAGTTGTCACACTCACTCACTCCTGATTCACCAGACATAATTGTTCTCTTGAAGCACCAGTTTGTCTTTATACTGATTATACACTGATAAATTATTATGTGGACTATGCCTTAAAGATATAATAGATTTGAACTTTCAAGAATCACAGTGAAATCCCAAAGACTGTGTATAATGGAATTGTTGAAATACAGTTGCACTAAATACAGTCAGGGCTCAGGACTTAAAGGAGCATTCAGTAATGCTCTAATAATTTATTTCATAGCTTCATATTTATGTATACTAGATTTTTCAGAAGAGTGACCCATTATGTTGGCAATGCAAGTATTTTAAGTGGTAATAGATTGTCACTGCTCATTATTTGCAGAGACTGTATTTATGAATTTGCCTACTTGCTAAAATGTACCTGGAGCCCAAATCAATACTTATGAAACATTTGTGGTCATTCATAGACACAGAGTGGTAAAAAGATTGAGTTGCCCATGTGCGTGTCCCCAGCTGAGGTCAAACACGGCTTGTTTTGGCCTTGTTTCAGCTTTTTCGACTGTAAATAAGTGTCCTTCCTTATGGTCTGTTTAATGACAAGTTTGCTATTCTTGTTGGTAATTTCGGTGTTTGAGAAGGGCCCAGCACAGTGCTGAAGTGGTGTCTTAATGTCCCTAAGCGATATTCTTTCTGCGTGTTTCCTCTCCTTCTGGGATCCTAATATATATGTGCTGCTGTGCTTAAGGGTGTCCCACAGTCTGTGAGGCTCTGTTTGGTTTCCTTCATTCTTTTTACTTGCTCTTTCTCAGTTGGCCTGTCTTCAAGTTCACTTATTCCTATTTAAAATCTGCTGTTGAGTCATTTTTGTACCTTTTTTTGTCAACTATTATGCTTTTCAACTCTAGAGTTGCACTTTGGTTCTTGTTTTGTTTTTTGCAGTACTAGAGTTTGAACTCAGGGCCTTTACCTTGAGCCATTCCACCAACCCTTTTGGTGATGGGTATTTTCAAAATAGGGTCTCGCCAACTATTTTCATGGGCTGGCTTTGAACCACAGTTTTCCTGATTTCCACCTCCTGAGTAGCTAGGATTACAGGTATGAGCCACCTGCGCCCAGATATTTGGTTCTTTTTAAAAGTAATTTCTGCTGAATGTGATGGCACACACTTACTAGAATCCCAGCACTCGGGAGACTAAGGCAGGAGGATTGCAAAGCTGGAGGCCACTCAGGGCTGCATAGTGAGACGTTTCAATAAAACCACAACAAAAAGGAATTTCTACCTTTTACTAAAATTCTGTGTTTAGTGAGATGTGATCATATTATATGTTTCATTCAAAAAGACTTTGGATGCATACAGAGTAAACATTAAGCTCTTTTAAAAGTCAGTTAAGCATGTGGGGCATACTTGCCCTTCCAGGTCTGCCTAGCAAAGGAATGAAGATGGACGGTTTAGAACCAGCTGCAGCAGCAACAGAGGGTGCCTGGGAGCTAGGAAGTGTGCATCACTAGACCCTGGTAGTGAAATGCTCGGGGTGTGGTGCTCAAGACACGGGCTGACTGAAGGCAGAGGTTCTGTGCAGACCAGAGTCTGCTGACCTGCGTTTCCTGTTCAGTGCCACTCCTGCACATTGAAATCCACTGTGATGCAGTACTCAGGCAGGGATAGATGTGCTTGCTTTCTTGTCATGAATTTGAAAACAACATTAAGGAACAAATTTCTTACAAGTAGCTATTGGATATTTATTTCCTGAAAAATTTATAAAGTTTTTTTGTGTGTCTGTTCAGTAGAGATGAATTCTCACTGTGTTTGTTGCCCAGGCTGGCCTCAAATTCCTGAACTCAATCAATCCTCCTTCCTCAGCCTCCTGAGTACTGGTCTGCATGCACATACCACCATGCCTGGCTCTGAGATTTTTTTTAAAGAATCAGGACTTCCTTCAACACCATGCTATAAAAAGTAGACATTTAGTTGAACTTACATGTACCTGTATGTCCTCAGCACCCTTCTTGTCTCTTGCTCTTATAACCTACCTAACTTAGAACTACAAAGGAGTTATGGTAATTGGCCATGATAAATGTCAAAGTATGATTTATATTTATTTTTTATCTACAAAAAAGAAGAAAAGAAAGAAAATCTGGTTATTAGCAAGTAGACCAGCATAGGTAGTGAAGCTCAATTTAGAGCACTTATTTTTTTTTTCATTTTTCTTTTATTATTCATATGTGCATACAAGGCTTGGTTCATTTCTCCCCCCTGCCCCCACCCCCTCCCTAGAGCACTTACTTAGCTTCCACCAGGCCCTGGGTTCAATCCTTAGTACCACAAAAATGAATGAATGAATAAATAAATAAATAACTTAAAGAAAAAGCCAGGTGCCAGTGGCTTGTGCCTGTAATCTAGCTATTCAGGAGGCAGAGATCTGGAGGATAATGGTTTGAGGACAGCCTGGGCAAATAGTTTGAGAGACCCTATCTTGAAAATACTCAACAAAAAGGGGTTGGCGAAGTGGCTCAAGTGGTAGAGTGCTTGCCTAGCAAATGTGAGGCTCTGAGTTCAAAGCCCAGAATCACCAAAAAAAAAAAAAAAAGCTAGGCATGTGAGGCAGGAGACCCACAAACTCAAGGCCAGCCTGAGCTGCACAGCAAGACCCTATCTCAGAAAACAAATAAAAAAGACCAAATTATCCACAGATATTATGCAGGTTCAGGCTTAATTATAGTAGATGTAACTTCCAGTAAAATGTATTTGAACTAATATGTTTGGGAGAACAGATAGTTCAAGTACACGTTAGCCCTGATTTTAGTTCCATGGGAAGAATTACACTGCTTCCCTGTTGTAGGAATCAGAAACTACAGCCAGTAATGTCCAGATACTGGTATTTGATCCTACTCAGAGACACAGTGTTCTACAGAAGCTACCCCAGGGCACCAAAACCCTGGCAGACTTTCCTCTGCACATTCAGAGGGGAAATCGTACCTGGGTGAGGAGTAGAAGAATCCTGTCTATAAACCACCTCCCAGAGTCACTCACTTCTCCAGCCTTGTGTTGCTGTACCCTGCACTGAAGCCTGGCTGGGTATCCTGCACAGATCTGGTGCTCCTGCTCTGGGATGTTGACTGTTCTGGTCCTTTCACTTGGTGACTCCCAACCTGTCCCTTTTGCGCTTTTCAATATCTGATTTATAGTCAAGACCTATTTGTTCATGTCAGCCTTCCTGATTTCTCTAAAGAAATCTCTGTCTCTCTTTTTTTCTGCTCCCTCAAAGTTTTATGAGGGCTGTACTTATCAGTAGCCCTCACCAAAATCTGAGCACAGTCAGACTTGCAGATACCACACCCACAATTCAACCAACCGCATATCAAAAATACTAAAAATAATTGCAACTGGGTGTGGTGGTGCACACTTTGAATCCCAGCTACTAGGGAGTTGGAAGCGGAAGATTGTTAATTCAAGGCCAACCTTGGCAGTTATTGTGACCCCATCTTAAAAACAAAAATACAAAGTAAAGGGCTCAGCGCATAACTCAAGTGGTAGAGTTGCTTGCCTAACCTGCTTGAATCCCTGGGTTCAATCCTCAGGGTTGGGTTCTGCCAAAAACAGAAAAAAAAAATTGCGTGTGCACTGAACATGTACATTTTTTTTTCCATTTGGTGGTACTGGGGTTTGAACTCAGGGTCTCACACTTGCTAGGCAGGCAATCTACCACTTGAGCCACTCCACCAGCCTTTTTTGTGCTGAATAGTTTAGAGATAGAGTCTCTCAAACTGTTTTGCCTGGGCTGGCTTTGAACTGCGATCCTCCTGATCTTTGCCTCCTGAGTAACTAGGATTACAGGTGTGAGTCACTGGTGCCCAGCTGCAGACATTTTTCTTGTCATTATTACTTAAACACTACAGTATAAAAACTAGTAGCATAGCGCTTACACTGCATTAGGTGTTATAAGCAATAAAGAAATGATTTAAAGTATACAGGAAGATGTGCATGGGTTATGTGTAAACACTGCTCCATTTTATGTAAGGCACTTGAGCATCCTCGGATTTTGTTCTCAGGGAGTCATGTAACCAATCCCCTACGGATGCCAGAGGACCACTGACCTTACCCAGTCCTCTTGCTGATTTGAGCTCTTTGAGGAGCAAACAAGGGAATGCCACACACTGGCCAGGCCTCCTTTCAAAGTGTCACCTGTTAGTCTCCGCTTTTATTGCTTGGTGTAGAATCAGACTTCTTTTGTAGCATCATTTTTGTACTAACTTGCAGGATTTTCTAACAGTCTTCATAGTTCAACTTTCACTCTTGTCCTGCTTCTGTGAAATTATAATATTTTGTACTTCATTCATTTGTAGTGTGTCTGTCTATGTGGATGATAGCATTGTAGAAGTTAGTTTTCCAGAATTGCTTATTCTGTAGCCTTGCTGACTTTATCTTCTTTTCTTCCCCTTACAGGAAGTGACTTAGAGGCCTTATGAATACAACTGTGCATTCTTGCTTCAGACTTTAAAACCGAGGGCCAACCCGGCCTGGAAGCACTTCTTATTAATGTTACACGGAAACCGCTACCTCAGCAAACAAAAGGAAAGGAGGAGACGACTCTTAACAGCAAATGCCATTTTTAAAGAAAACTTGCTTTCAGAAAACATTACAGGAATTTTGGAAATTTTTAGTGTTGAGGAGAAGCTTTCTAGGTAAATGGACTTGACAGGCAGGCTCTGTCAAACTTCAGAGGTCCACTTTCCTTAGGACTTCATGTGCAGTGACTCTGCACTGCTTTTTAAATTGCTGTTGATCAGCTGTGGGTTTTTGGGTTCTAACTTTTTTGGTATATTGAAGATGCATTATATTACATTTTAAAAAGTTAAGTTATTTTTCTGCCATTGTAAATACAAGTATCAAAATATTCTTGCAAAGCAATTCTAAGTATACATTTTTCTCAGCAAGCATATCTTTTTATTGAGAGAGTAGAATGCTAAACAGTTGTTATACAGCATTTTGGACACACTTTGGTTTTTTGTCAGTCGTCCTTGCTACACTGAAAAATTAATTATATTAACCTGTTGTCTTTCTCATTCCTATGTTGAATCACACGCTCACCGGCCTCATGGAAATGCCTTTTCTAGAACTTAGATTCGCAGAACTCCACTATTTTTATACCTACCTACAATTTTGACGAAAAGCAAACAAACAAACAAAAAACCAAAAGCAAGACTTCGACCCTGACCTGCTCACGGTCGCCACTGCAGACCCCCACCGCATGTACTGCTGCAGTGCCCAGGACAGTAAGATGGACTACAAGCGGCGCTTCCTGCTTGGCGGGTCCAAGCAGAAGGTGCAGCAGCACCAGCAGTATGCCATGCCAGAGCTGGGCCGAGCCCTGAGTGCGCCCCTGGCATCTCCGGCCACCTCTGCCCCCCTGGGCAGTCTGACTGCTGCAGGCAGCTGCCACCATGCAGTGGCCCACTCTGCTCCTGTCGCCGACATCCAGCAGGGCATCTCCAAGTACCTGGATGCTCTCAATGTGTTCTGCCGCGCCAGCACCTTCCTCACTGACCTCTTCAGCGCTGTGTTCAGGAACTCTCACTACTCAAAGGCCGCCGTGCAGCTCAGGGACGTGCAGGAGCACGTCATGGAGGCAGCCAGTCGGCTGACCTCCGCCATAAAGCCCGAGATCGCCAAGATGCTGATGGAGCTTAGTGCTGGGGCAGCAAACTTTACAGATCAGAAGGAATTCAGTCTCCAGGACATTGAGGTACAGTACCTTCTGGGCCACAGTTGCTAGGAAAATGTGTTCCAGAAGGAAGCGGGGGACGTTGTCTTAGTTACCCAAACCACTGTAGTGACAGTCCCTGTCCTCTTCCTGCGGATACTCTCCCTGTAAAGAGTTTGTGCTTGCCAGGTTCTGAAGTGCTTTTATTTCTAATTAAGTAGGTTAAAAGGTTATTAAACAGGGCTGGAGGTGTAGCTCAGTGGTAGAGTGACTGTTCAGCAGGTGTGAGGACTTGGTTTCAATTCCCAGAGCTACAAAAAAAAAAAGATTTTTTTTTTTTTACAGTACTGGGGCTTGAACTCGGGGCCTACACCTCATGGCTTTGCCTATGCCATGGACTGGGTTTAGCCCATGGGCTATAGTTTGCTGTACCTGCTGATAGAAATGTATAATAACCTTCTTGGTCATTCTATTTTGAATCTCTGTTCAAGGGTATTTGTAATCCTGGTTATTCCTGTGGTTGCATTTTATATTCATGGAGCTTACCCCTCCCTCCCTCCCTCCTTCCTTCCTTTTTCTTTCTTTCCATCTTTTTTTTTTTTCTTGGAACCCAGGGCCTTGCACTTACTAGGCAGGCGTTCTCCCACTTGAGCCATACTTCCAGTCTGGAAATGATCATATTCAAGTGTTAATAAAATGGCTTATCATAGTTTAAAGTATTTTTAAATTATACTCATAAAAATGTGTAATTTAAAAAAAAAATTCAAGTAATGCAGTGTAAAATTTGTGTTTTCCTTTCCCATTCCATTCTTTCCCTGGTGTGACCTACTGCTGAGTGATGGGTGTGTGCCATTCCAACTGTCTGTTCATGCACACATACTTATTTGTGCACACACAGATGCACGGTTTGGGCTTTTATTGGTTTTATATAAAGAACCGTGTTGTTCAGCCATCAGTGTGCCTGGTCACTGCTCCGCAGAGATGGAGCAAAGCTTTGCTGTCTTTCAGAAGTGGTGAACAATATTAGACCCACACGGTTATGCTGTCATCCCCCTCCCTCCTGAGTAGCTAGGATCACAGGCATGAGCCACCAGAGCCTGGCATGCCTCTGGGTCTTAGAGGACACAGAACTAGACCTGCAGGGCTGTAACCGTCCTGGAGGGCATGTGCCCCTGTCCCCCATGTAGGACAATTAGAGAAGATTAATTAACCTTGAAGCAAAGGGGCTTATTACTGGGGCAAGACAGTACCTACCGACTTTGTCCCTTTCTGTTTTCTTCAAACCAGCCTGTACCTACTTAAGCTGAAAAGTGGAAGTACTCTGCATTGTTGTAGTTGGGAATTTTGACTTGGCTTTCTCCATTGAAATGCTAATTAGGATGATTGGAATAGTCTACCATGATTTTTGTACATAATGGGTTAAACAGGCTTCCAAGCCTAGGAAACTGAGTGCTGTTGATGGGTGTTAGAATCGAAGGTGTGTTCTGTTTGAAACAGCTTCTAAGTCAGTTCTAAAATATAGCTGTTGAGTAGAGGACCACACACTTCATGTTTTACTTTTTCCCCAGAGTAGTGCTTGTTGTTTGTAGAATTTATGTGCTGCCAGGGGATTTAACCCCAGCCAGTAAGGGTCGCTCCTTCCAGAACATTCACCAGGTTAGCATTTGGATATCCCCCCCACCCAGCTTATTCTGAAGTTTGACTTTCCATGTATGACTGTGTTGAAAGATACTGGGACCTTTTGGAGGTGATGAGGTCAGTGTGGGATTGCTCTAGTGAGACTGGATTAGTTCCTTGGGAGGAGGTTTTTCACATCTCTAGGTTTTGTCTCTTTTGCACCTACCTGCTATGCTTCTGCTTTCTGCATGAGTTGAACAAGATCCTTTACAACTCCATGGCCTTGGTTTTTCAGTCTCTAGATTGTCAGCCAAAAGAAACAACTTTTTTTTTTTTTTTGGTCGTTCTGGGATTTGAACTCAGCGTTTTGTGCTTGCTAGGCAGGCACCTCTACTGCTTGAGAAGTTTAGGACTGCCTCCAGTCCTAAACTTCTTTTCTTTTTAAATCACCTCAGACTTTTAAAATTACCAGAGTAAGACACCTCTACTCAGGAGCCAGGACTTTGTGTAAGGAAAGCCGTGAATTTAGAAGTGTTCAGTGCGTGACCATTTTAAACTTAGGACAAGGTATGGTCCGTGTCTCCTACCCCCTAGGCCAGTACATAGATGTTTGTGCACACACAAATGCTGACTTACAGACAAGTTTAGAATTGCTCTTGATTGACAGATGCTGAAGACTATGTCTAGGAATTGTGGTTGCTAACTGTGTGTTCTAGCATCTAACCGCCCAAGGTCAAGGGCAGATAGGTATATGTCCTGTCCAGTCTGCACTCATTACCCTGGGTGGTTAACCCTCACAGTCTTGTTGTTGGAGAAATGAGTTACGACTCTGGTATTTCTCTTGTTGACTAGTGCCTGTGACACTGTTTGGTACATAGCCTAGGATCTGGGGTTAGAAGATGACTCTGCTTCTTAGTGCCTGTATAGCTCAAGCAGATCTTTTAACATCTCTGCATCTCAGTTTGCCCATCTGTAAAATGGAATTGCCACCTACCTTCTCAAGTTCTTGTGAGGATCAGAAGCAATCAGTGTGTGTGAACCCTGCAGCCCGGTTATCCATCATTGCCATCATCTGTCTTGTTCCCAACATGACTCGAAAGGCGCTGTTAGGCCTCTGAAGTGCAGAGGCCAGTTATGTGCAGAAGCCACCGCTGACTTACTCCTCCAAGCTTGAGTGCTTTCAGGTAGCAACAGCTACCTGTCGGCACATTTGCCACTGCTCAGTACTTACCTGCTTCAAGACAGGCGTCTTCCTTCCTCCTCTTTGTTGTCTTTTCCCTTGGGTGTTCTAGGCAGCAGCAGTATTTACCTGCTTGATGTTGCATGTCTTGTCAAGTTATTTTTTTGAAATGGGGTTTCGCTAAAGCAGATACCTTAAAGCAACTGAGGCCAATAGGAAAAGGGGAACAGGTACTAGAGAAAAGGTGAGATCAAAAAGAATTAACCTAGAAGGTAACACCCACGCACAGGAAATCAATGTGAGTCAACTCCCTGTATAGCTATCCTTATCTCAACCAGCAAAAACCCTTGTTCCTTCCTATTATTGCTTATACTCTCTTCAACAAAATTAGAAATAAGGGCAAAATAGTTTCTGCTGGGTATTGGGGTGGGGGAGAGGGAGGGGACGGAGTGGGTGGTAAGGGAGGGGGTGGGGGCAGGGGGGGAGAAATGACCCAAGCCTTGTATGCACATATGAATAATAAAAGAAAAATGAAAAAAAAAAACAACAAAAAAAAAAACGGGGTTTCGCTGTGTAGCCCTGCTGTCCTCAAACTCGAAGTCTTCGTCTCTCAGCCTCCCTATTGCTGAGATTATAGGTGTGAATCACCATGCCTGGATCCCTGCCAGGACCTTTTTCACATTATAGTTCAAAAAGACCTTTTATTAATAAAAGTTTTATTAGTGTTCACTTGGCACTTAGAGTGGGCATGGAGAAGAAAGTGGAGAAGGGGATGTCTACTGGGTACACTCAGTAGCAAGAAAGGCACTGGATAAATGAACTGACAGGGTAGGAAGGATCCCCCCTCCCTTTGGATTCTTAGAAAATTTATAGTTTACATTGAAAAGGAACTTAAATTTTGTCTAAAATGAGAAATACCATCCTTGTCAGATATTTCATGGGAATCCTTTGTGTGACTCTCAAACTCTCAGTCTTGCCAAAATGTGAATTAAGGAAAAAATGTAGTTCCTCATACTGAACTTATTCTTTGATCCCCAACCAGACATTTTTTAGGGTAGATTGCATAGGACCTGCTGTGTGTGTCTCCTTTTGAGTCTAACCATATCTCTACTATGGAGTGGTATTTGCAGTTGTCTTAATTCCAATGTTTTTAAAAATGCCACACTAGGCCAAGGATTACTAGGCCTGCAATCCCAGCTTGTAGGTGGTGAGGGTAGGAGGATCAAGATCTAAGGCAGAAATTTTATCTAAAAGAATAAATAAAGCAAAAAGGGCTGGGGGTGTGGCTCAAGTGAAAGAGTGCTTGCTAGTACAAGGCCCTCAATTCAAACACTGCCCCCACAGGGACTGGAGATGTGGCTCAAAAGGTAGAGTGCCTGCTTCAATGATTTGCCTGGTGCTGGTGGCTCACACCTATAATCCTAGCTACTCAGAGGGCAGAGATCAGGAAGATTGAGGTTTGAAGCCAGCCTGGGAAAATAGTTCGAGAAACCCTATCTCAAAAATACTGAACACAAAATAGGGCTGGTGGAGTGGCTAAAGCAGTAGAGTACTTGCCTAGCAAAGTGTGAGGCCATGAGTTCAACCTAGTACTACCAAAAAAAAAAGGCTAACTGCTGGGTATGGTGGTGGATATCTATAATCCCAACACTTGGTAGGTCAAGGCAGGAAGGTAGTAAGTTTGAAGCCAACCTGGGCTACACAGCAAGACCCTGTCTCAAAAAAAATAAGTAAAAAATAAATCTAGCCAAGCTGGCTAGTGTAATTTCTCTTTGATTAATTTATGTATCTCAGCTTTGGATCACTTGCTGTTAAAGCATGAAGTATAGACAACCCTGTAACTTAGGTTTCTATTTATTAGGAAGTTACTTGTCTTAAATAAAATAATTGCTCAGTTCATATGTATATAAACAAAAGACTAAAATTGACTTGGGACTTGTACATTCTTCTGCAGATGTTTATTGCTGTGCCAGCTGCTGTTCCAGGCATGGGACACAGCAGAAGGACTCTACCCTTCTTGCAGCTAGAAGAGAGCTGTAATGCTAGACAAGACAGGTAGAAGAGCGTCACTGAGAAGGTGACATTTGAATAGAGACATGCAGGAGATGAGGGAGAAGCTCTGGCATGACAGGAATAGAGCCAACACAGAGCAGTGAGGACTAGATGAATGAGAGGGTGCACGCTAGGGGTGAGGTCAGCCTCTGAAGGGCAGCAGATGGGCTCTGCAGTCCTACCCACATTCATC